CACACAGCCCTGGAGGCTGGACGTCTGTGCAGACACCTCGGCAAAAGGACGCCAGAGCAGGACAGAGCCGGTGCCCGGCAGCCGGAGCTGCCTGTGACTCCAGGCATCTTGTGTTCCTGTCCAAACACAGGGCTTCCATGGTGGCCAGAAGACTCAGGGGTTCCAGAGAGTTCTATTCCTACAGCAGAGAGTGACCTGAGGGCACAAGGGGTCCAATTGGACAAGAGAAGGAAGGAAAGATAGGGAGGGAGGGAGGGAGGAAAGGAGGGAAGAAGGAAGAGAGGATGGGAGGGAGAGAGGGGGAGGAAGGGAAAGAGAAAGAAGAGAGAAAGCAAGCAAGCAAGAAAGAAAAGAAAGAAAGAAAAAAAGAAAGGAAGGAAGGAAGGCAGACTATATTTGGTATGAGGGATGCCGAATTCAACCTAGATTCACGCAGGGCTCTCACAAAGCCCAGCACCTGTAATCTCTAATTTGCCTCTGAGGCCTTCAATGTTACATGTTCTTACTGGTCTCATTTTTAGAGATAAAGAAGCAGCGTTAGAAACAAGTGATCTGTCTTCCTGACAGAAGCTTTACTAAACCCCAGGTCTTCTGTCACTGAATCCAATTTTTTTTCCCACTGCCTCCCCCTGCCTTATTGTACTATGCATCCTGGTAGGTGTTTATTCATTTTTCTTTTCAGTGTTATTTAACTTAATCCATCTTATTATTCTAAAAAGAAAAGCAAATCCATTTGTGTCTCTAGAGGTAGCTTATAGTCATTAGTCAGAATCACCAAACAAAGTTCACTGTCAAATTTGCTTTAAGAGGAACAGCTCAAGAATTAATTGTGAAAAGCTTATTTGGAATGGAAAAGGCTTAAGATCACAGCCTTTTATTCCTCTGAATCAAGTTTTAATTACTGAAAAGTTTAGTAACAAGCGAAGCGTGTAGTTACAGAGCCCTTTATTGCTGGGAGGTTTTTCAAAAGTGCTTTTTCTGCTTCATTGCCTTCTCGCTACAAGACCTCACTCCATAGTGTTAATCAGTTTCTTTAGTGTTCCCTTTCATTAAAAAAAAAACAAACTCTATGTCTTTTAAGCTGTTCCTGATGTCAAATGTAGATGCAGATCAAATCCCTGCAGGCCCAGGTGAGGCTCTCCTATGTGCCTGCCAGGCCAGCTGGAAGATCTGACACCACTTAGGGTCACTGCACACAAGGCTGATGGGCAGAGCTGCTGGATGCCCAGCAAGTCCCAGCCCATCCTTACTGCACACTGCTCACTGGGTGACACATCCAGCCACCCTTGGCTTAGTTCCTGCAGGTACTGAAATGCAGTTGTCCACTTGACTAGCACTTCATGATTTACAAGCATTGCCTCATGCTCCATCTTCATGTCAGAAAAGGTTAGCCAGATGTGTATCCCAAAAGCCATGGAGGATGGAGAAGTAAAATGTGGGGTTACCAGTGTATCAGTGAAGCCCCACCTTACTGCCCAGGCCTGTCATGTGGTTGTCAGGGTGAGGTTGCATAGGACTCTAGAGCCATCATGGAAGCACTTGGACTCAGGAGGACAGTGCTCATCTGGAGATAGTCCTATTCCCAACTCCCCACTTCTGGAGATAGTCCTCCCAACTCCCCACTGAGGTTGCTCCCCAAATACAGGTGCATGAAACCCCCTTCTTGTCATCTTGTCTGCCTGAAAATATCATGCAGACGACCGCTTCACCTTTGGCAAGCTGTGTTAAGCCTCCTTGAAAAGCAACATTCTGAGAGCTAAATTGTATGCAGTAACTAAAAAGCATATGTGGTCCTACAGTGACTGGAAATGGCTGGGGGTCCTTTGTATCCCATCCTCCTGCCTGAAAATTCTCTCTTTTTTGATGTCCACCTAATACCTGGTGTTGTATTTAGTGTCAGGGTAAAAGCAGAGAGCCAGAGAGAGGTGAAGAGGCCGAAGCCTGGCACAGAGGAGAAATAAAACTTTCACCATCTTGTTCGCAGACTGCCTCTGAAATGAAGTCCTAAAGCGCTGGCCTCTTCCCCAGCGGTCACCAGGAAGGCTTTGCTCTGCTTGACTGGGCCAGGTGCTGCTTCGCAGCCAGCTCCCAGCATGTGTCTAAAGAGATGAGTTCTATAAATATCTTATGGATGGATAATCGGCTGACACCAGCTATTAGGGATAGAAAAATGGTGACTGGGACAAAGGTCAGTATGGCCAGAATTAATGACACAGCACAAAACCTTTCTTGTTCTCATCAGGCTGTGGGGTTTCCAACACTTGGACATATGTGCTTTACTAACTGGAAGTCCTCTCACTACCTTTCTCCTGATTGGAGGTGGGGCAACCTAATCAGAAAGAAATTTATGCGTTCAGGCTCCAAGGCAAGGGATCCAATCAGAAATGTCTCCTGCCATGTGTTAACCAATCAAACCAAAGATACACACACACACACACACACACACACACACACACACACACAACCAATCAAACCAAATATATACACACACACACACCAAAAACTCCACAAGAGGTTGGGCCCAGGTAATGGGATTGCAGATCTCCACCTCTGTCTCTTTAGCTACTTTCCTTTGCTTGCCCTGTTTACATTTAACACTTTCCTGCCTTTTAAATTCTTTAATTGGCAGAGAAAGTGGACCTTAAATTGTATCACCACGATTCACCTGTGCTCATACTGGCTCCTGAAACATCTTTCCTCACTCTTGCTGTTTAAAATCCTTCATCAGAATGTGCCTGTTTGCCTCTACTAATCCATTGGTACCCATGCACCCAGCCATGGGCCTCCAGAATAGATTGTACCTGCTTTATATTGTACTTCTTTTCATACTTTACTCAATAAACATTTCTTGAGTCCTATTATGCTCAGGTATTTGGTGCCGCACCACACATTCAATTCTAAACAAAGTAGACCTGGTGCCTGCCCTGAGAAGCTCACAAGACCGTGTTTCCTCAGCTCTCCATTGTTTGAGGGGAGGGCTGGTGTTGGGACTTACTCACTTTGGTATTGTTTGCAGAGATGCCAGCCTTGTTTAACAGTTGAAAGAGATCTCTAAGGCACCTGAAATACAATCCACTGTAATGTCACATTCCTGATCTATGTCCTGGCCTAGGGACTTTGCTCAGGTTCCGTTTTCCTGGCCTGAGAGCCTTCGACTTGACTCTTAAACACAATTCATGTCACCATCTACTTGATACAGCTTGGTATCCCTTTAGAAAAATGGATAACCTCTTTACAATGACCCTGGGCTTTCTTGCTCCCTGCTTAGAATCCAAAGGCTTTTACAAATCACCCCAAATTTTATAGTTATGTTGTTAGCTGCTCCAGTTACAGGGCAGTCACTTGCTAGTGAAGACCTCCCACCTCTCCTTCTCCCCAGTCAACCTGACATTTTGTATCACCTGTGCGAATTTAGGCACTTCCTGTATTTTATGGCTTGTCTTGTCCTCACATTAGCCTTGTAAGGTAGACATGGGCCTTAACTCTTGGTGGTTTTCAGACAAGAACCAGGAAGGTCTGAGGTATGGCACAATAAGGATCAAAGACATTTCTATCCACTTCATGTTCTTCTTACCTCTCCACCCTTCCCTCCATTCAAATGCCAAGGATGGAAAAATTAGCAAATCTGTTCTAAAGCATCAGAAGGACAGGAGTCTTCTCAGGGTACAGATCAATCACTTGGGATATTTACATGCACCTGCTTCTTGGAAAGAGACTTGGGCCATGAAGGAAATAGCAATCATTCACTATTTGAATATGATTTGAAGTCTCCTAACAGTGAATACCTTAAACCTTCACCGAGGCAGTTTTCATGCCTATTATACATTTCCCCACTATCAACTGAAATGGCTGGACACCATAATTCTCATTTATTAGAAGCTGCTCAGCAGGTTCTCCCTCTGCTTCTATTAGAAATAAAGTCAGTGGTGGTCCATTTTCAATTCAGATTTGAGTGAGAAATTACCAGTAGCTTGATTGCATAGCGACTTGTGGATTTGACAAAATTCATGCATTGGAAAGCCCATAGATAAACAGGATGGATTAGAAAGAGGGCTGATGAGCAAGAAGAAGAAGGGACAGCAACAAAATGAGAAAATGGGTAGAAACTGTGTGCACGTGCCAGAAAGCACATAAGTGTACCTGTTACAGGAGAGCAAAGAGAAGTGGAGACAGCCAAAAGTCTACTAAAATTCAATCAACCCAAACAAGTACACATATTCATTCAATTCACCCCAAAATAAGTAATATAACTTAGATGATATGGGGGAGATATGTGAACTCCATATTTCTCTCACCATATACCTCTCATTCATGTGATAGGTATAAAATTGCTCATTGTAATTTTGGACCAGTGTATCCACCATCATACCCACCCAATCATTAAAGTATCAATTTTGCTGCATTTCTTGTTTCCAAATCTACCCTTTGAGTTTGGTCTGGTGAGTGTATTTCTCATAGTTACGTTACTGGAATTAGAGTAATATACGTGTATATGTGTGTGTACCCAGAGTAATATATGGGTATATGTGTGTGTGTATATATACACATATATTATCATAATATATATCATATATGACATATTTATCATATGATAATATCTAGCATATCTCTTTATAAATATAATATACACTATATATCATATATCATATGATATGTATATCATATACAATATATTGTCTCTAGTCACTTAATGTTTGGAATAACTGGAAAATCTGCCAGTGAAGAGCTTGGATGTCCGTTATGCTGACCATTGCTATCAGCTTGTGAGCTGACTGGACATCTGGGGATTTGTATTCTCATTGCTTGCCTGAGGGACTGGCTTGGGAGGCTCATTTCTCCTTTCCCCTCTTAGTGCAGAAAACCTAATAATTTACTGTGTTTTGACTGTTATCAAGACAATAGAAAGCATTCAGAAATCAACTAACATGAATCCCAGAAATATTCTAAAGCAGTCTCTTTTCAGATATTTCTGAAAGATGTTTTCTAGGCAAATTTTTGATCCACAAGAGTTTGAAAAACATGACTATATTTAAAAAGCTAAAGAAAACAACTGCAAGAGAATAGTAGTATCAGCTCTTTTATTTTCATGTTTGGCTTTGTTTCTAGGAAGTATGGGAAGATGAGAGGGAGATGAGTGGGAGGAAGAGGGAGAAAAAGGAGTGGGGGGCAGGAGAAACAAAGTACAACTTGTATGTTATGTGTAATTGTTATTTTAAGGACATTTATTCTGATCGATTTTATTCAAGGAATAAATCAACAAACACCCAGAAGCAATCTGCCCCTAGTTTTTTTAAATTCCAAATATAGACCTAATAAGAATAATAATGTTGCATCAAAAAACTTTCCATTAAAACAGCTCTATCTACTCCAGTGTATTGTTAAACATTAGCCACTCTCATTTTTCAAAGATCACTGCCTGTTCATGTTAACAAAGTCAATATTGAAACTGTTCAACTTTCCCTGGGAAAATAATGAAGAGGGAAATGGGTAAAGATATCACAAATATGTTATGAGCTTATTACAAATATTTTAAAAATGAAGAATTGGAACTTAATAAAACCAGCCCATTCTGTAGGCCATCCCTTACGTTCAGTGACAACTCCCTTTAAGGTGCAGAAGCTTTTGAGTTTGATGCAATCCTTGTGCTCACTTTCCAGGCGAAGTTTTATTTAAGAAGTCATTGCCTATATCTATATCTTCTAGTGTTTTCTCTATGTCTTCTTGGAATATTTTCAAAGTTTCAGGTCTTACATTGAGGTCTTTCATCCACTTGGAGTTTATATGAGTATAGGTTGAGAGACTAGGATCTACTTTCAGTCTTCTACATGTGGACATCCAGTTTGACAAGTGCCATTTGTTGAAGAAGCTGTAATTTTTTTCTGATGTATATTTTGAGCTGGGTGGTCTTATTTCTATATCTTCTAGTCTGTTGGTCTATCTGTCTGTTTTGTTTTGTCTTGCCAGTGTCACACTATTTCTATTACTATGACTCTCTAGTATAGCTTGAGATTAAGTATTATATTTTTAGCATTGATCTTGGACAATGAAATCTTCTGGCATTGTTTTAAAAAATGGGAAAAAGGAGACCAGGGAAAGTAATTAAAGGGGGTAATTTTGATCAAGGTACAATATATATATGATGGAAATGCCAGAAAGAAATCCTCTTGTAGAACTCATATGTGCTAATAAACAATATCTTAAAAATTCACCCTAACTTAGCCAGTAGGCTTATGTCCAATGTTACATGCATTTAAGTGCCTCCTCTGATCCAGTCTTTTGTAACTTGAGCTAAAGGGAATTTGCTATTTTCCTGGTAAAAACTGTCTTGTTTCTCAGAAAGTTTCTCAGATTCACCTTGCTTTGTTTAATCTTCTAATTGGTCTTATTTGATTTAGCTTATTAGATTTCTTTTCACTGGTGTTTTTAGAGTCTCTATTGATTTATATCTACCTGTTCTATTTATTCATTTTCTTTTTCTTCAGCCTTACTCTTTTTAACTGTTGCTAGGAGCAGCTGAACATAAGTTAACAATAGCAACAGCATTAATTGAGCACTTCCTATGTCCACTGTCAATAGTGCTAAGTCTTTTGCATATATAATCTCATTTCTTAAGTGGCTATTATTTGACAGACACTTGAGAGTGCCAAGTTAAATTTGATCCTACTACATTGCTGTCCCAGAGCTCATGATGTGATGAGGAGAATGAAGCATTTGGCACAGGATAAACATTGCATGAAACTAGTTTCAAATAAATGCTGGAACATGGCCAAGGGAGGATACTAGAGCACTGAAGAGAGAGATGTAAGAACAGAAATCTGATGTACTAGGAAGAAGGGTACTCTCCAAGATGATGGAACTCTAAGTTGAATCCTTAGAAAGAATTCACTGGGTTAGAAGGGTATATGTATATGTATGTATGGAGGAGGAAAGCATGGTTGCTCAGGAAACTACATTGACTTCAATGTTACTAGGCTGAAAAACATGATAATTATTGAGAGATACGAAGACAGAGTCAGAAACCAGAAAACATTGTATTTCCTGGTAGAAAACTTGAACTGTGGCAAAGGTATAGGCAGGGGAGTAACATGGTTGACATAAG